CCCCCCCCCAAGTTCTGTTAGATACTGCTTTGACTCTATTCCCTGCCAGGTCATTCCAGCACATAGAAATACAGCCCTTGCTGGGTCATATAACAGAGGTGGTGGCACTGGAGACTGGCTGGGCAGGGGAGGGAGTTTTCCTGTTCTTCATGCCTAAGAGGCAGTACAGACTGAGCCAGAACTGAGCTGTGTCTGACAGTAAGTGGGGAGTGGGGAGAAGGAGGCAGGGGGCAGAAGCTGCAGAGGGCAAGCAGAAGGGAGGAAAGAAGACTGTTGTGGGTCTGACTCTGGTCCCAACCCGGCTCAGGGCTGCAGGACCACCTGCCCACTCTTCTGCTGTGTGTGCAAATCTAAGATGAGGGGCTTCCCTGCCATGCTGATGAGGGGATGGAGGGGAGAGACCTCATCTTAGATTTGAATATGGTTAAAAGAAAAGCAGGTGCAACCAAAAAAAAAATCTAAAATCATTCCCGTTGCTGAAATTGGATATAGAGAGTCTGTTTTGCTGATAATCAACAATATCATTAATAAAAATTCACTCAACTAAAACCTTCAATAAAGTCTGAAAGTTTGTGAACATGTTTTTAAGTTAATGAGAATATTAACCAAAGAGTACTAATGAAGGGCACAGTGATGCCTTCTCAGGAGCCACAACTATAACAGTGATAGACTGAAATAAAGGATCTCATTAAAGTTGGATTCCAGCTGGCAAGAAGAAAAAACATTTCATCTTTCCCCAGTGGTGGCACAGATATGTGAATATAAGATACTTGTATATTTTTGCTAACTCTATGTCATTATTTAAAATACTGTTCTCCTCTCTGCTTTTTACAGTAGCTATTAAACAATAAGAAACTGCTTTACTATTAGTCTGGCAAACATTGCCTTCAGTTTTGCAGCAAAAACTATATGATACTTAGTAAAAACAGCCATGGGAAAAGTTTATGAAAAATGTAAATAGTTAAAGTTAAAAGTTAGCAGCCTTTAAAATTAACTTAAGTTAAAAGTTAAATAGTTCCACTTTCAACTAGTTGAAAGGCAAGTTAAAAAGAGAGTAACTAGTTAAAAGTTAAGTTGATTCATGAGAAATGCATGAAACACAGTGAATTGCCTCTTAGCATCATTTTTCATTTTCAAATGCAATGAGTGGGTTTCTTTTCCATAAGAACACAGAAGCACACTAATTTACTTGGAACTCACCCTGCTTTACCTGAAAACAATGTTATACTTGTCATACAGTTTTCAGAGTAATAATTTACCAATACCTATGTAATGTTAGATCCTTCTCACCCTCTCCATGGAAGTACTTCATAAAAGTCAATACATCATATAGTCATACCAGAATAACAGAAAGGAGATATTCATAGCCAGGTGACAAATGAAAGCTGTTTCCACAGCAAACCTCTGTTGTTACAAATTTTATTGCTCAAAAGGTAACAAAAGGGTATGAAATACATCTGAATTAGAAATAATAAAAGTGTCTGAAAATCAGAATGAGACTGAAATGAGAAAATCAGTTTAAATGAGAAAAATAATGTTCAGTTGCGTAGCAGAAACGGTTTAAACATGCTTGTACTTCAGCAAAAGCTGCATTTCAAAATTTACTTCTGACAATTTTCCTCTTCTGTCTTCCAAAACTAAGTCCCCACTACTGAACAATTGCTCTACATGGGCAGATGAGGGAATGCTTGTGTTATAATGGATGAATAGGTTTTTTCATAGTAGATGACATCTCAGGTAAGTTTCTCACAGATGAGAAGTAATGTTCAGTTTCTTGGGCCCTGGGCTGCTGATTCTGATCTTCGTTAAAATTTAAAAAGTCATCATTTGCTTCACCCTCACTACTTGCTCCCACTCTTACTGAGATCAATGTCTTGCTTGTGCTTGTTCCCTCTCCTGCAGCCAACTGGCTGTCCTGTTGACTTCTGCAAATGCACAGAAAATCCCAGCATGAACTAAGGGACTTTGGGACTTGTAGTTCTTAAGAAACCATCTAACAGGAAGGTATACTACTCTGTCTCTTAAACAAGAAGTCCTAGAGTTTCAATAAGGAAATATTGTTCCATGCAAGTCCTGGAGAGTGGCTGTGTCAGGAAAAACTCTGGGAAAGCCATTTTTCATTTTTTTTTTAACTTGTAACTTCTAGCTAAAGTTAAAAGTTGACAGCTGAAAAATTTAACTAGTTAAAGTTAAAAGTTAGCCATTTCTTTAATTTTTTAACTAGTTAATTAACTAGTTAATTCCCATGACTGAAAAGGAACATGAAGAAAAGCACTTCTAGGCCCCTCGTGAAGAGAAGGGAAATAGGTAAGACAATATAGAGTAAGTCACCCAAAAGGCTATATTTTGTGACATAGTAAAGTAAAATTGGTTGGGGGCATGAGAAAAATATGTTAACCAAGCCCAGAGTTCTCATTCTTTGAATTCTTCCTTTTTTCTTTCTTTCCAAAGGGAAAGAATAGGAGGAACAAAAAACAAGAAAAAAATTAATGGATAAAAGGCAAAAGTCACATAAAAAGGGAGTTTGAAGTGAAAATGGGCAGTAAATCTAGCTCAGAAGAATGCTCCATCTCTTGCCAAAAGCAGTTGAGGGGAACTGCGAAGCAGGATGGGTGGGACTACAGTGAAGCATAAGAGTACTGCTAGGGTAAAATATCTCTGAAGTTTCATAGTACATATGTCCCCATAGTGAAAATGGGCATAAAGAGAAGGAAAGTATAACAGGCCAAAGAGAATAACTTTCATTCAAAAATTGTTTCTCTCAAGCAAACATGACTCTTGGCTTTTCCTTCACATTTGTTTGCCGTAAATGTTTCATTTTCCCCGATGCATTTATGCCTTAGTAGGAGACTATTATACAATGACGATATTCAATTCCTGTGGTATAACCTCTCAACTATGTATCTAATAATGCTTTATTGGTCATAAACTGATGTTTTACTCATTATGATCCAACTCCAGTGTCTGGTTTCGTCAGTGAATGGCTCCTTAAGGCTTTAAACAGCACAAGCTCTTTACTGAAAAAATGTGCCAAACTTTTTGCTCCATTTGCAAAGTAATAGCTTACTAAAACACCAATGTTATAAACATGTCATACATCTCCTAAATAACATAAACTGAAGATTTTTAACAAATACATTTATTGCTGTTTAAATGAAAAATTTAAGAGGCTGAGTGATAATGGTTGCTAACCATAAGCTATACACAAAGAACAAAACCCAAAAAAGAAATATTAATTGAAGCTGACCTCATTTACTGCCACATAGTATCGCTGTTGCTGGAAACGAGGCGAGTTATCATTCCTGTCCCTCACAACAATTCGTACTTCATGGTAGATAACGGTGCCAACTTTTTTGTTAACACACTGGACTTGGACCACAATCGATTGGATGGACATTGGTGGCTGTAAATGGGGAAAAAAATACATTTTTTCTAAAACAGCACATATAACAGAGGTGCAATTACAAGAGAGTAGCCTTCAGAGGAAAAAGCTTATCTTGCCTTTAGAGTATCTATGACGTCTCTGTGGCTTTTCTGGGTGATCTGCTGAGAAGTAAGTCACACATGCCCATTTCCTTTCTGAACATGCCAAACCCAGACATGAGGCACCTAAGCAGGCCTGAGAGCACTATCACTGGGGACAACCTTAGAGTCACTTTATTGTCTCATTTTCAGGTTTGGCCCATGTGGAGCAGGAGTGGCATATTTCTCAGCAGTGCCTCCAGTACTGTTGTATAAGGGTATAGTCCTGGCCTATAGTTACTAAAGTCAAGTTCTCTGTTTTATATTTAATGGTATATAACATGGATTAGATACACTGGCCTGAGCAAAACACCCCAAGCTAATCCTAGCAACATTTTATTACAAACACTCCTCTTATAAGCACATCTTATGGATTGTGAAGTCTGCTTGCATGCTCCTACATATTTCAGCATGAAAAGTAAAGATAAGACTATTTTTTTTAGTCACTGTTAGTCACTGATCCCTTGCTGGAAGTCATTAGAGAGAGAGAGACTGTCATAAGAATATCCATCTTCTAAACACTGAAAGACACTTATGCAATGAACCACCTCCATCACAAAGTCTAATCTATTTTTGCTTCTTTGTAGTCAGATTAAAAGGTCATGGATCTTAGAGAAAGAAGATCAAGTAACTAGGATACCATTTATACTTGCCAAGTACTCATAAATTTAAAAGGCAACTGGTGACTAGTAAAGGTAGACACTACAAAGTCCAGCTTTCCTTCAGCTCCAAGAAGTACTGATTGAATTTTGCCCGCAATAAATCCTAAAGTTAATGAATGATTAGCGAAAGTAAGAAAGAATTCCCTGTGGCTAATATATAATATACACATTGTAATCTTGCACGAGAATGGAGCCCTTTCTACTGTATAGAAAGGTAATAAATATGTCAGCAGTAGCACAACTAAGTAGATTAGGAAGAATTTAGAAAATTTAAAATGCTTATGAAACTTGGAAAAAAATTAAAGATTGTGTGTCAAACTAGAGCTGTAAAGTAGTTAGTCTAATTTAATTTTCTTTTATTTCCTTGATTAGGGTAACTTAGCTAACCAAAGGAATGGTCCACTGAAAACTAATGATAACATTTACCATAAATAAAAACAGGATTGTAATTTCTAAACTATATCTCATGAGTAACTTAGAGATCAAGGTACACATGGGAATAATTTAAGTGATACAGAATTTAAGGCCAATGAAAGAAGTATGGTAGTTTTAAATTGTACCTGCTTATGGTAGGTCATACTGAACTGCTCAAGTTATTTGGGGTGTCTGTTACAAGTTTATAGGTACAGCAGCTTAGAAGTAGACAGACAAAAATCATGCCAAATCAGCTGAAGCCAACTACTCAAACTTCCGCTACTTCCTCTAAAACAGTATATTGTTTTATCTATCCAGAGAAATAGATTATATATATAATCAAAATCCAAAGCTGAATGTCACAATGTTATAACTTAATTCACATCTCTGAAAAGTTTCTTTCTTTTTTTAAAATTCAATAAAATCAGAAAATCAGTGCAAACACGGCCCTCCAACACTGGAGGCAAGATTTCTGCCAATGTTCATTTTCAGTTTTCTATTATTCCATAGGTACTGATCTTTGAGTACTGGATAACAGAAAGATAACTTGCTTTACTCTTTGTTATTCTTTTCCATGGCAGGTTAGCTCTGATGAGACACTTTTACTAACAGTTCCTTGATGGTACCTGGCAAAGTAGGTTGTTGTTTACAAAAACTCATGCCTCTCTGAACCAATTAGTCTTTAAGGTGCTTTACTTTCTGCCTGATTTCAGACTAACGTGGCTAACCACCTATGAGTTCTTTGATATAAGTGTCTAAAGGTTAGAAATCTGGTAGTGGAGGCAGGGCTCTCAATATTTACATTTGCTGCATCTGTCAAACTATGTAAGCCTGAATATGTTTATTTTCAGACATTTAATTAAACATATTTCTATTTTTCCAAAGGGAGGACTGTGATTGAGGTATATCTATAATTTAAGCCTAGATAAATATTTGTTATATATATGGGTATAAATCACTTTATTTAGTATACTAATTCATTTCATTTAATTTTGACAAGGAGATGGTAACAGACAGCATCCAGAGAGATGCTTCTGGAAACAAAAAAGTAATTCTGAGCACAATTAATCCGAACCGATTCCAAAATCCTAAACTCCTTTTTTGCCATCAGTCTTCATATAATTGCTAATGTCAAAGGTTAAAATGTTATCTTTTTCCCAGAAATCCTTTAAACACAGTTCGCATTGGATTAAGCACCACCATCTATGAATCTATGAATTTACTTGAATTAATAATGTTGGTATACACTGGTTAAAATTTTTCCTATTTAAAGGGCTGTAGTCATTCAAGAAGAAAAAGTGTGGGCAAGACAAAAAAAAGTTTGCATAATGCCTAAACCCAATGACGCTGTAATCTAAGAGAAATAGCTTTACAAAAATCTTAGTCACCGTGATGGCACAGAAGTACTCTGTTGTATATACCCAGGCACAGAACTGTGAGGGATAACAAAACCCTTATAACTGCAACAATTGTCATAGTCTTGAATTATATTTGCAGCTAACATATGACCTTTATGAACAATTTTTAATATTTGTCCTAATAAATGTCAAATATTTTTTGAACATCAGCTACTGGCACTAATTAGCTTATAAAGGACCAACATTGTTAGATTACAAGCTAACTACTCCTTAAATTATGTCTAGCCATGAACTGTCTCAGCAATGAACTGTAAGCAAGAGCATATTCACTTGTCAAATAGTAGTCTGCATAACATTATTTTATTTTTAAAGACTAAATTTATAAGGAAATAAATCTTTTGAGTGCCAAGTAGTAATTGCTACTTAAATATCGCAAGATCTTGTTCTTATTTGCTTTTTCAAGCTGGCTTACATCAGCAAAGCTCTTCAAAGATTCATGTCTGTAGAAACAGTTTCTCATGGGATGATCCAGAAAGGAATCAGGCCACCCTTAAATAATTGAAACCATATTCCTATCAAATGCATGTAAAGACATTAAGACTTCATAAGAAAAGGAAGTGACAGGTAATACTTGGATAACTGATTTTCTGGATTGTCAAGCCTTAGCTGAGAATTATTAGCAGAGGAAAAAACAGGAAATGTGTCACTTTTGTTAAACAGCATGTGGTAAAGGACCATGAACATGATTATGTCTTCACTTTTCTTCAGTTATTGTTTAAATTTAAATTTGACTTCAAAACACCTGCTGATTTGACATTTGGACATAGACAGTAAATGTAAAGTAGCACAGTGCTAGTTTATATATTACAATACTGGGGGAAGCAAAGAATTTTCGGGGTTAATTCTATTTCTAATTCTAATTGGTAGTTCTAATTCTATTTACTTTCATCTTTGTCAAGCAACATTTTCATTTTGAGGCTTTTTGTTTGCTTGTTTGTTTTGTTTCTTCCCCATTCTCATAAATTCACTTAAATCAGTGAAGAATCCATTCCTCTGAAAGGATCCAATTCTGAAAAGAAGATCCAATTCTCTTAAAATAAGCTAACCACAAGGTTTTAAAAACTTATTTTTTAAAAATATGTATAACAAAAGGAAGCACCAGTTATTTGACTGTATGTTAAAAAGATGGCATGTTAAAACTTCCTCAGATGAGATGTTCTCCATAGTGCATTGTCTACCTGAGGTTTGGAGAGAAGGTAAGATATAGAGTGAATGACTGATAGGTGAGAGAAGCTTAGCAGAGCTCCTGCAGGCTTGGCCAGAGGGAAGGATCCCATTTGTCTCACTTAGTAGATGTGCTGCTTGCTAATCATGGCTGTAAGAATGTGGAAAATATAAAACATAATTTGCAGAACTGTTTCATAGATTCATAGATTGTAGAGTCGGAAGGAACCCCAAAGGATCATCGTGTCCAGCCCCCTGCCCCTGGCAGGAAAGAGGACTGAGGTCAGATGACCCCAGCCAGGTGATTTTCAAGCCTCCTTTTGAAGACCTCCAAGTTAGGTGATAGTACTACCTCTCTTGGAAGCCCATTCCAGATTCTGGCTGCCCTCACTGTAAACCATTTCTTCCTAATGTCTAACCTAAATCTACTCTCCACTAGTTTGCACCCATTATTCCTAGTTACTCCCTGGAGTGCTCTGGTAAATAGCGCTTCTCCAATTCCCTCTTGTCCTCCCTTGATAAACTTATAGGCAGCGACAAGGTCTCCCCTCAGCCGTCTCTTGTGAAGGCTGAAGAGATCCAGATCTCTCAACCTCCCCTCGTAGGGTCTTTCATGGAGGCCACTAATCATGTGAGTGGCCCTCTTCTGAACCCTCTCCAGATTCCCTCTTAAAGTGCGGCACTCAAAACTGGACACAGTACTCCAACTGCGGCCTGATCAATGCTGCATAGATGGGGAGCATCACCTCCCTCGATCTGTTGGTCATGCATCTGCTAGTACATGATAAGGTGCTTTGTCGATGGCCTTGTTACACTGCCGGCTCATGTTCATCTTGGAGTCAACTATGACTCCAAGATCTCTCTCAGCCTCTGAGCTGCTGAGGTGGTCATCCCCCAACCTATAGGTGTTCTGGGGATTTCTCCTCCCTAGGTGGAGTATCTTACATTTATCTTTGTTGAATTGCATCCTATTGTGTTCCGCCCATTGATCCGACCTGTCCAGGTTGGCCTGTATCTGCTCCCTGCCCTCTGGTGTGTTAACTTTGCCCCATAACTTGACTTTCAGATTCCTTCATAGAATTCTAGTTTTTATTTTATGGTAGAACACAGCTTGTGTGGGTGAAGAGCAAATTGTCAAACAGTTGAGAAAGAAAAAAAAAAGCAGGTTTAAGACAAAAGTTAGTAAGGCCTTGCTTTATTCACATCAGAAGGAAGAACAATTTGAGGAGAAAGAGATTAATGGAGATAGAAACTAGGGGTGTGCAAAGCAGGCCCTATTTGATTCAGATTTGGATTCGGCCCAAATCAGGGACAGTGATTCGATTAATTGATTCAGATCACTGTCCCTGATTCGATTTGGCCAAATCCAAATCTGAAGACTCAATGCTGATTCAGAGAATCAGTGATTTGGACACAGATACAGCTTTAAAAGTTTTTTCTATATACCCGGAGGTAGGAGGTGCGGCTCATGATTGCTGCAATGCTGGGGCACATGGAGCGTCCCACAGAAGTGTGGGGGGCTCCTCCACATGCTCAGTCTGCTGGGGAGCATGCTGGGGGCTCCCCGTGCTCTCCTGGTTCAGCCGCAGGGGGATCCCAGGTGCCCCCCCACCCAGACCCAAGAGGCACCAGTCACCGAACCAGAGGGGGCACGCCCCACCCCGTACACTCCCCAGCAGACCTGTAAGTGGACCGGAAGTGCTTCTGGTCCACTTCTGGGTCTGCTCCGAGCACACTGGGGAGCCCCCCACACTCCTGTGGGACATTCCATTTGCCCCAGAATCGCAGCACTCACAAGTTTCTACTACCTAGAGGTATGTAGAAAAATAATTTAAAGCTGTGTCTATGTCCCAATCTCTGTATCTTTCCAAACCAATTTGAGGGTTCTGATTCAATTCGGAGAGATTTGATTTGGAAATTCAGCCATAGAATTGTGCCAAATCTCTGCCAAATCAAATCAGGGACCAAAGCTTCACACAGCCCTAATAGAAATTGAAGTAACCTGAGGAGGACAACAAAAAGTACTATAAAAATAAATTTGCACCTAAAATAAATAAATCAGGTGGTGCTTGCAGTTTCCACTGGATACTTGAACACCCATATTCTGCTTTTTAAATTTTGACTTCAAATGAAACCCCTCAAAATCCCCAAACTGAAACTTCACCAAAACTAGTATGTTTCACAAGACGTGAATGCAAACTATTAAAGATCATTTTGACACAGAGTTCACATAACAAAAAACAAAACAGGAAAGACTTATATAGTTTCAGATTTTGATGTAAAAGTTCTGAACTTCACTGGTTTTCACTTTCTAAATGCAAGCTTCATGAGCTAGTAGAAACTACAATGCTCATTAAATAAAGGAAAATAATGTTTACATTAAAAAACCTCATAGTCCCATCTCAGCATTTTATGGATACTTGAAAGAAACACTGTTGAGCCTATGGGGCAAGGACTTTCCTTTAACCTTGTCCACTGGGGTCTTTGCATTTCCTTTGAAATACAAGAACTAAGATCATATATGTTATATGCTGCTTGCCTACATAGAATGGTGGGAAATAAAGGTGTTATATGACAGTAAAATGCTCATTTACTCTGATTTTATATATCTTCATCTTTTTCCAAAGAAATGCATGAGGACAAAATATTCATCTCACATGATTACACTTTGGTTAGGCATTCAAACATAAAGGTTATTCAGAAGTATTCCTTTTGGATCAGAAATTACCGTAATTTACTATTATTATCATTATTATTATTATCATTATTATTATTGATGATGATGATGATAATAATAATAGGCATCCAGATTGGAAAATTACCTGCAAACATGCCAGTAAATAAATAACTGAATGACTAACCTGAAGTAAATAAATAACCTACAATAACTGCATAACTGTTTCCCATTAAGGGACTTGTTTATTTCTCTGCCTTGAAGGATGTCACCAAGTGCTTGATTATATCATCAAGCACTTACATTTGCAACCAAACCATTATTAACCAATATAGGAAATCAATTTCAGGTTAGCAAGTACTTTTGAATAGAGTGTGTATGGCATGTGGAAACTACAGTTATTCTCATTTCCTTTTTAAAAGCTTGCTTATCATTCTGTTCGTCAAAATATAGGCATTTCCAGTTCCCACACAACAAATCCCTGGCAGTAAAGCAGGGAGTTTTGTAAATACATTTACAATAGCACCATCTAAGAACAGAAAGTCTATAAATAAGGCTATAGACACATGTTCATTGCCAGCATTATGGAGATGTCTACATGTGTACAGTACTCTGGATAAAATGCAACAAAGCCTCCTTAAAGGCATGATCTCCAACCAGGTGGTAAGTGGGGATAGCTCCCTTTGCTCACCCAATCCCCAAGGGAGACTTATCCCTAAGGCAGGTAGCTGTGGCAGAGAAGCTACCTCCAGCTGAGGCAGAGTTGTTGCCACTGCTGTGGATGCATTATCAGTTCTCCTGCAGTGTTGCACATGAAGGCAACTGTTTTTTACTGTAGCCACTGCCATAGGAACACCAGCAAAAGGGCATTTGTCACTTTAAAAACACAGCAGGTACCCATATGCTAAATATCTTACATTAGAAAACTAAATGGAGGCCAGGTTAAAAAAGTTCACATCAGAAATTCTCTCTCAATTTTCAATAGTCACACAAATGGACAGATCTAACTACCTCAACTGCAGACCAGCTTTGATTTCAATTGTCATAGGACATTTGGTATAAGCCTAATGCAAGGCATTCAAGGCATAAGCCTATATAGGTCTGCTGCATATATGTCCCAAGGAGTACTTCACTTAGAGATATGAATACAAAAAAATTAACAGAAGGAAATGAGAAAAGAAATACTATATCATTGCTTAAAATATCAGGTCATTGCATTGGATACAAAAATTGATATAAATAAGCCCGCACTAATTAAAATACTTCTAAAGTTACTTAACAGATACGTGACATAGCCTAAATAGGCAACTAGAAAGGCCTATATACCATATATACTGACATTTTGCTTTCATGGTATCTAAGTGAACTACGATTCAAAAAAAGAAATCTATGAAAACAAAACTAACATCTCTGTCCAGAATTCGGCCTGTGCTGTTTAGGAACAGCCTCTGATTGATAGGATCCAGGATCACCCAGTAATCTATGTTGTCTTTTAATGATAGCTCTATTGTTGGATCAGGTCCTCCTGCTCTCCCCTTGATCAGCATATTGTCCACCAGGATAGTGCCTGCAAGGAAAAAAAATAAAAGTGAGATTACTGTAAAATATTACGCAACAAATTTCACTACATGTTAATGATTAACATTAATTGTAATGTTCACACTTTCATTTGTAAATGTTATGATTTAATAAGTGTGTGTGGGGGAGGTGGGAAGGGGTGGGGGGAGGTTAACCAATCCATTTCTTCTATGTAAAACAATATATACTATTTTGAAGAGCTCCAGAACAAACTCTTACAAAATACAGTAAATTTTATATTGGGGATTACACCCACAGTTTTCTGTTAACATGAATTCAATTTTATCCCTCCACCCTTAACCCCTCCAAAAGGCCATCTATTATTCACAAAACTGACCGTGGTTTCTATTATTCAACATTGACTTTCACTAAAGCATGACACCTCAATTCTTAGCAGAAGTGAAACCAATAATAGTATTCAACTAAAAAATAAAATAAAATCAATGCTCAAAGTATACATAAAATTAGTGCTCATGAGCCAAACAGATTACAATGCAAACATAATGACCAAATAGCCAAAACGGCTTCAAAGAGCTTGAGCAATTCAACTCTGACCTTTTTGGTATTTCCTTCAGATCACTGCAAAGATGTCATCCTGATAAAATCTGGTTTTTCCAGAAGCATTTTGCATTCTGGTATAACATCAGTTTAGAAAATGCTCAAATTATTTAAGAAATTATTCATGCAACCACTTGCTGCAAAGAGGTAAGCTTGAAGGGATGAAAGATTGGAGAAGTGCCATGGTGAAGCAATGAAGAATTATGGGGACATAGGTACACAGGAATGGGGAAAGGGGCAGCTGTTCAGGCCAGGGGAATGGGAGATAATTATTAAGACAGTTAACATGGGGAAGATAACAGGTAAATGGATGATTTACCTGCTATCCAGATAATGGTGCCTGTCAGGCCCACATTCTCCTCTCCCATGTCTATACTAGGGCATAGAGGGATACGAGTCAATTACTTACTGGCCCTTCCAGCAGGTACATATGCCTATTTTTTCCAAGAATGACCACAATAGCATACCACTATAATAAAGCATACAGGAGGGACGGGAGTACTTAAGGAGTGACACTGACCTTGCCCTAACATGTCAGCTTTAAACAGATCTACCTAGGAATTTAAGCAAGATATTTGTTTTGCTTGGTTTTGTTTTAAAGCAGTTAAGGTTGTCCTTTCACAATGTCAACATTAGCAAAGCTTGAACGTCTGAAAAGAAAGAAGCCAACTAAAAACGATGATCTGTGGGTCTAATCCCCAATATAAAATCTCTTTGCTAATACTGTAGTGAAACAATATCAGTTTATCAGATAAACTTTAATGGAAAAGAATCCACATGAGGTGAAGCTGGAGGAAAAAAAGTATTTTGCATTTTTAAAAATAAAAGTTATATTTTTAATATAAATGTTTATACAGTTCTATTTGATTTATACATTTTGTGTCAGAAGAATTATATTATCCTAAAAAGGTATTATGTATTTATAATATATCCTACCACATTGCCAGTATTCTGCAGTCAAATAAATGCTAGGATCTTGACAAGATGTTTCTCAGAGCATGAAAAAAGTTATGTCCATTCATGATTTTAAAAATCACCTGTACTTCTGTTAAGCAAACCTGTGTGTGTAAAAGGCTATAAAGAACTACTTTTGCATTATAATAATGCTAATCTGTAGTTATTTCAATCACAGTCATTTGCTGAAGTGTTGAGAATGGGATTCTGTAACTGCTGATAAATAATAAATACAACTATGGTAAGTATAATTAGGGATTACATGACAAATATGGATGGAAAAGCCAGAAACATATACCAGCAACCGCAAGTGATAAAGTGCAAATGAGCGACATTCATGGTTTTATGCACATCAGTTTCTAAGTTTGGGGACAGATGATACAATGATATTGCTTTAAAAGGTTGAAGGGAAAAGTGTTGCTACAGTTCAGCTAAATCTGCTGCAACTGTTTTGTCTGTGTAGTGGAAGCTAAATAACAACAATTTGTCACATATTTCATAAAAACAGCATATATTATTTCAGTTTAACTTTTTTTGCTACGGAATCGGAGCAGGCAGACAAAACCGATAAAATTGATCAGTAAACACATGATCATGAGCCTGCAATGCGATGCTGCAGCTAGTAAAGTGACCAAAATGCTGGCTTGCATCCATAGATGCTTCTCAGGCAAATCCCGGGACGTCATTCTCCCCTTGTACTCGGCCTTAGTGAGGCCGCAGCTGGAGTACTGTGTCCAGTTTTGGGCTCCACAATTCAAAAAGGATGTGGAGAAGCTTGAGAGAGTCCAGAGAAGAGCCACGCACAGGATCAGAGGTCAGGAAACCAGACCTTATGACAACAGGCTGAGAGCTATGGGGCTCTTTAGCCTGGAAAAGCACAGGCTATGGGGTGATCTGATCACCACCTATAAGTTTATCAGGGGTGACCACCAGTATCTGGGGGAACCTTTGTTCACCAGAGCGGACGACTAGGTCGAATGGTCATAAACTACTACAAGACCGTATCAGGCTGGACATAAGAAAGAATTTCTTTACTGTCCGACCCCCCAAAGTCTGGAACAGCCTGCCACCGGAGGTGATTCAAGCGTCTACGCTGAACACCTTCAAGAGTAAGTTAGATGCTTATCTTGCTGGGATCCTATGACCCCAGCTGACTTCCTGCCCTTCGGGCGGGGGGCTGGACTTGATGATCTTCTGAGGTCCCTTCCAGCCCTAATGTCTATGAAACCTATGAACACATGAATACAATCTGTTAGCCGACTGTACCCCATTAAAGCAATAAAATTGTTAGTCTGTTCACAGTCTATGGCATTCATTGCTGTAGGTACTGCTAAATGATTAAATCAAACTGAACGTAATTCTCATAAATGATAACAAGAACAATTTACATACAAGAGAGAGATCAATAAAATTAAGGCCTTCCCTGGGAATTTTGGTACACCTCCTTGCTTTCAGTATCTTTTCAACCCAAGCTACATGAATCAGGAAGTTTGTCTACTTTAAAGAAAATCAGAACTCAAGCCCTAAGCTGACTTGTAGCTAACTATTTGCCTACTACAGAAGCCCAAGTTTGTTCTTTCTTTTTCTTTCTTTTGTTTGCTTTGGGTTTTTTGGGGGGGTGGGGTTTGGTCGTTATTTTTAGGGAGACTAAATCAGTTATGAAAAGAAAGAAAAAATAGATGATGTTGTAGCTTGCAGTCATAGGCAACGCGTAGCGGTGTACAGGGGGGGCATGTGCTCCCCCCTGAGATTGGCCCTCGCCGGCCAGGCAGTGGGAACACTGAGAGAAGCCGGTACCCCCAGACTCAGGAGGCACAAGTCACCCGTGCTTGCAGTATTCATATCTGGACAACATTGCTCTACTACTAGATCCTAGTGATTTGACCCACATGTGCACGCAGTCCCAAAAACATATCCTACCGCCTGGCTCCCACCTGTGGTAAAAATACGTTATAGTTCGGCCATTATGCCTTTGCAATCGCTGTTGTGTTCAGCATATTTTGCAATAGCTTCTGCATATAGATTAAGACTTGCTTAGCACATAGATTTTGCAACCATACTTATTCAGTGAACTGGGGTTACACCAAGATAAGAGGTTATTAAGGGGCATTAGTTTTGCTGCAGTTCTGCTTTTGGACTGTGCATGCGACAGGACCTTTTGCCGCAGTTCTGCTTTTCGACTACGCATGTGCTAAACTTGATAGAAAACAATAACCAATATCAAGTTGAGCTCGAGCTGCAAGGCAAGATGTAACAATAAGGAAATTGTAAGGCTGCTAATAATCGCGCGACACGCTAAAACCCTCTGTTTGTCATCTATAAAAGTGGAACCTCGGGCACGGCTTGGGGTCGACTCTCCTTTGAGCGACTCAGCTCCTTTGTCGATCTGTTTGCGCAAACAATAAACTCGAGTTGGACCTAGCCTGTGTGTGTGTGACTCTCTCCTGGAGGTAAATTGGACAAGCCTCCAGGGGCACGAAACTAGCAGTTTGTGCAACACACCTTTGTGGGTAGAAGGGCCTGGTCCAGCCAGCACACAGCTTCTGTGCAGGTCTGCTGCTGCCGCTGCTGCAGCCCCGGGGACCTGCTCTGCTTCCCTGGCCTCCTGATTGTTCTGGGCAGCAGGTAGGAAAGCAGCAGTGGTGGGGCTGCAGCTGGGAGGGAGTGCAGAGCATGGGCAGAGGTTGGTGGTAGCGCAGAGCCCAAGCCCAGGGGGAACAGAGGGTGGTGGCAGCACAAAGTTGGGGACCCCTCTCACTCCCCCCATAGTGCACAGCCCTGGCAAGTGGTGGCAGCAGGTGGGGCATTCAGGGCGCAGGTGCCCAGTGAAGCATGGCTTTGGCCAGCGCTACATATCACAGTGAGGTGCCCAACCTCTGCCGGGCTGTCTGTATCACCGGCACTCCCTGCCACCCTAGTACAGCAGGGATAAAGACCCCCACATGCTGGAGCCAGCTGCTTTCCCTGCCATGGCTGCACACCACCAAAGAGAAGCTTCAGGCACTGGAGCTGGCTGCCTTTCCTGCAGGGGCTGCACTGCATGGGAAGGGAAGCCCCAGGCACCTTCTGCTGCAGGGTGGGGAAGGCAACCAGCTCCAGCACCTGAGGCTTTTCTCTGCTGTTGCACAACCCCAGCAGGGAAGGCAGCTGGCTCCAAAGCCTGGGGCTTCCCTCCCTGCTGTGCAAGTGCAGGGGCTGTGTGAGAGTGGCAGGGAGTGCCAGTGATACAGGCAGCCCGGCAGAGGCTGGGTCCCTTGCTGTGATGTGCAGTGCTGGCTGGTGCTGTGCCCCACTGGGCTCCTGCACCCTGAGCATCCCGCCTGCTGCTGCACCATGAGGGGAGTGTGGAGGGGTCCCCATAGCCCCCCCTTCAGCCCTCACACCCACATTCTGCCCCCACAACCACTAACATATACACAACCCTCCAACATAACCTATGCCCCCCATACACAGCCACACGCCCTCAGATTCCCCCCA